TTTGAAACTAGCCTGGTATATACAATGAGAGGAAAAGAGAGACCTTGTCTCAAACAAGATGGAAGGCAAGAACTGACACCCAAGGCTGTCTTCTGGCCATTCATGTACCAGGGCACAAGCATGCCCACACTTACACATATGAATGTGAACACACACACACAAAACTAAAAATATCAATTAATTAAAATTATTTTGTAAGCTATAAGGCAAATATTTCCAAAGAATGATAGAAGAAATGAAGGAGGGGGGAGGGGTGCAGAGAGCCTTCTGCTCAGGTGTTGGTCGTCTGTATACTCTCCACTGCTCTATCGACTTCCATGGCAAAAGAGAAAGAAAAATATAAAATAAAATAACTGGAACAAAAAACAACCACTGCCCATATACAGGGACAGCTCCAATTTTTAGATCTAGAAAATAAGTCTGAAATTAATTTATCTAAAAATAAAGGTGAAAGGGCTAGTTAATAATATGTTTATACATCTTAGTGACAGTTATATTTTTAATGAATTCAATGGTATCATGTAATATGTATCTTTTAAATTCTACTTTATTTTAAAACCTGTCAAAGGCCAGCTTTGAAGTTGAAATTACATAGGTACCAGGTTATTATAAAAGTTTAGCATTTCCCGGGCTTGGCAGCGAGCCATGCACTTGAAGTCCGAGTGGTGAATGAGGCTGGGAAAACACCTGGAAGTTGAGGAACACCAGGCCTGGGACTACAGAACAAGGGGTACCTGACTCTTCACCTTGTGGGTTTCTTCTCTTTCTTTGGTGTTCTAAGAGTCAGTTCTTGAAATGGATATGCTTCCAGATGAGCTTATGTGTTGGTACGAAGCAGAGGAGCCCACACTGGGTGAAAGTTACAGTAAGTGAAGTCTGATTTTACAGAGATCTTCAAAGGACCAATTTTCTCTCTCCTAAAATAGCTGTTTCCATGGTTACTTAATTACTTATTATGAGGCCTTAGAAGAAATGCATATGGGGGGATAATTCAGTAGACTGTGTTTAAATTTTCAATGCGGGAACTATGGAACTTGGAATAAAATATAATCTCTGGTAATTTGCAGTTGGCTTGGTGTTAAAAAGACATTTGTATCCACGTGGGGAGTTTTGAACTCGGTGGTAATCCTGATCCCGCCTCCCCCCACCCCTCAGCCGCTATCCCGTTATGTCAGTCTTGTTGCTGGAAGCAGGAGTTGCTGCTCAGGGACACAGACGAGACCACAAACTGGGATAGTGCTGAGTGGGTTCTAATGACTGACTAGAGGGCAGATGTGAGGCGGCCCGGGTTGAGCATTGCCTATCTCTCCACTCCTCCACACCATGTGGAATCTCGTCTGCAAAGGGAAAGGTGGAAGAGATAAAAACAGGAAGAGATAGACTCGAGAGTAGCCAATATACCCATCATCCCAAAGAGAAACCACCTACCCAGGGCCTCCCTGCAAGTACTGCTGATTCAAAACTAGCTCCCACACAGCTTTGGAGAAACCCTAGGTCTCCTAGAAGCAACCCGAGGAAATTTCTGCTCCTTGTGTGCCAAACAGCACAATGTATATCTTTACAGCCTCCAAATGTTTACTGCACCCATGTGGTACACTTCAAAGGTCCTTCCCTCTGTACACGGATGTCAGTGTCCTGGGTGCTTCTGGGGCACATGATGTCGGCTGGCTGAGGGTAAAGATGCGGTCCTCACAAGTACAGGTGCCTGGCTCTGCTGTATCATTATGAACTGAGGACTCAGAGGGCTGAAGGAGCAGGTTGCAGCTGTAGCTCTGTTGTCACCAGGCCTGCATGATTACTGCCCACTCACATACCAGCATTTTTTCTGCCCTGCATTCTTCCTTTTTAGCCCCTACATCTATCTATGTATGTATGTATATATACATATGTGTGTATGCATATACATACATACATACATATATATGTTCAGGATCACCTAGGAGATTGATGATGCACACTTCTGGGTATTTCTAGAGAGAATTAATTGAGGGGGTGATAATTCACCCTAAAAGTGGGTAACACTAACCCACAGGCTGAGAGAAAATGAGAAGACCAATAGGTATTCTTCTCTCTGCTCCTGGCCTGACATGCAGTGAGTGAATTGCACCACCATGCCCTACCCCCTGAAACTGTGAGCCAAAACAAAACCTTCCTTAAGTTGCTTCTTTCAGGCATTTTGTCTAGCAGCACAGAAGTAACTGACACACAGATCATCCCTGAGAGAAAGATCCTGAATAATTTTATTCAATCCCTTCCTCTCCCCATCCCCAGTACCATTAACCTGCCTCTGCCATCTATAGGCATTTTTAAAAAGATCTATCTATCTGTCTATCTCAAGCCAGCCAGCCAGCCACCATGTACAGTGTCCTGTCTGCATATATGCCTGCAAACCAGAAGAGGGCACCAGATCTCATTTTAGATGGTTGTGAGCCACTATGTGGTTACTGGGAAGTAAACTCAGGACCTCTGAAGCAGCTAGTGCTCTTAACCTCTGAGCCAGCTCTAGCTTATTCATAGGCATTTTATATGCATGGACCATTTATTTGTGACTCTTTGGATTTGGCTTCCATCACTTAGCACGGTGTCTTCCAGGTCTGCCAATTTCCTACTTGTGCATTAGCTCTGCCTTTCTATTCTGTTGCTGAATACATTCTAAGGCAAAGACACTGCATAGCTATGTGTGTTGATGGGCACTTGGGTTGTTTCTGATTTGGGCTATTATAGGTAAGGTTGCTATGAACCCCTGTTTGTATGGATTCATGTCTATAATTCTCTTGGGCATCATCTAAGAGTGAATGGCTGGGGACAACAAACTGAGTCTTTCCTGGACTGCTAGATCTTCATGCTGTCACATTTTATGATATTGAAAGTTAAACCTAGGGTCTCAGGCATGCTAGGCAACCACTGAACTAAAACTAAAATTACAGTTCTGTTTTGAGCTAGGTTCTCATTAAGCTGACCAAACTGTCCTTGAGTTCACTCTACAAGCCCAGAAGGGGCCTTGAACTTGCTATCTTCTTGTCTAGACCTCCTGAGTAGCTGGGATTACAAGTTGGCACCACCAGGCCTGGCCTCGTCTTAGATCTTAGTGGGCAACTCAGTCTCTTAAACCCCTAAGACAATTTCAGCATCACTGAACAACTCTTCCCCAGTTGGTTCTGAGAGCTATGCACAGAAAAATGACTCCTAAGCAAGCCCCAGCATTCAAAGTGCAGAACTGCTGAGCAACATAGCAGCACTTGGGTGACTCAGAGTCACCCGAGACATTAGTCAGAACTTCGCCTAGCAGCCTAGATGAGGAAAAAAAAAAAAAAAAAGAAACTACATCAAGATCCCGAGGATCTGCAAGAGGAAGCTTCAGTGTGTGAGAACCTAGGGTGTGGTATGGACTTGTGAAGGAATCGAGGGTCAGTATCTCCAATCAGTAGCACATGCAATATGGGGCTCTTGCTTTGTTAATTCAGTTATGAGCCCGTGTTGCATAGGAAACCTCCATATTCGCTGGACTGACGTATCCTTCGTGGTCTCTAAGACTATATGGAGCACAACGATTCTGCTTCCTAGTCTTCACAGCTCTTGGAATGCAGCACAGTGCATTTCTTGGCATTTGTAGTGATGCTGGTATGTACCACACACTGGGCTGACGGCCAGATAAAGTACGGCCATGAGTCACACACGGCACCTCACACTTGATAAGGTGAGGGAGTGACATCAGTGTAATATTTACCATGCTGGACTCCTATTGTGATTTCAGAGGATGTTCCTCCCACTCGTAGGAAAAAGAGTGGACCGGAAACTAGAATGCTGGGTTTTGACAGCAGCTGCCTTGCAATCTGGTGTTTACCTTGTCTCTTTTTTACAAAGAGATATAGATATTTTTGTGTGTGTATACATGTGAATCTGTATACGTGTGTATGCCATGTATGTGTGTGGGCCTGCTGAGGCCAACAGAGGGCATTGGGTTCCTCGGATCTGTAGTTTCAGGTGGTTGTAAGCTACCTGGCTGCTGGAAGAGCAGGAAACACTCAACCTCAGATTCATCTTTAAGTTGTATGACCAGGGGTGTGTGGTCAACTCTCACTTCTGTCTCATAATCAGTTTGTTTTCATTTTCACTATCAGCCAACCAGAACACATTGAAGTCACTGCTGGTTCAAGTCCAGAAGTATTCCAAAACAGTAGAAAAAGGAGGAAGAAAACCTGCCTGGGACCAATTTTAGCTTCATGATGCTGAATTCCAAAGTGCAATAGGCCCAGGGAACTGATAGGAAACAGGCTTTATTCTATTTTAAATCAGGTGCATGTGTCTGTATATCTCTGTGCATGGTGTGTGCAGGTGCTGGAGGAGGCCAGCAGAGGGCACCAGATCCTCTGATGCTGGAGTTACAGGCAGCTGTGAGCTGCCATGTGGGTGCTGGGAACTGAGCTCAGGTCTTCTGGAAGAGCAGTCAGTGCTCCTAGACACAGAGCCATCCCCCGAGCCCTACAAATTTTGATATTAAAATTTTAATTTGGAAATCTTATTTCCAAATTAAAATATAATGATGAATATTTAGGTACATTATAATTTAGAAACATGCCTTTAAGTCTTTGTAGCAATAAAAAAAATGAAGATAATTGAAATGGTCAGGACAAAGCGAGTGAAAGTTATTTTGATTCTTCCGTGAAACAATGTTACTGAACATACCTGCTTTAGAAACAATGTTACCGAACACACCTCCTTTAAAAACAATGTTACTGAACATACCTCCTTTAGATACAATGTTACCGAACATACATCCTTTAGAAACAATGTTACTGAACACACCTCCTTTAGAAACAATGTTACGAATCACTCCTCCTTTAGAGACAATGTTACTGAACACACCTCCTTTAGCAACAATGTTGGGAGTCAAAAGCTACACTTGCTCCTGCTTCAGGAAGCCTCAGAATCCCAGGGAGGGCAGCACAGCCAGGAATGCAATCACGTTTCACAGAGGCCTGGCCAGGGAAGCAACTTACTATTGTGCACAGTCGATCAACTGGTACTCGTTGGATCTCTCAAAGCAGGCTTTCACCCCCTCATCGTCCCACAGCTTCTTCACGTGATCAAAGAATTCCTAAGGGCGGGAAGAATGACAAGAGAACACACGTCAGGATATTTTACAAAGTGAAGAGGGAGAAGAAACTGCAAGACAGAAGTTGCGAGGAGGGCGGGGATTCTTTTAGGTTAAGCTCTACGCCGCCATGGGCACTGATGGTTCAGTACGAGGCAAAGCAGGACATTTGGCTCTCACAACTCATGCAAGCTATGGAACCTCCCAACTGTTCACAAAGCCCACCAGAATGAAACCTGGAAGCCAAAAAATCAGTGCCAGTCATTCATTATAAAGCAAGAATGCAATTGTTCGGCTCTTAAAATTCAGTGCTTTGGAGAGCTAAGCCGTCGCCTTGGCAATTGAAGACACGGACAGTCTAGGGTCCATCTTAGCAGCTGTCTTGTGACTTTTTAATGTGAGGTAAGATCAGAATGGCAGGCGGGAGAGATAGTTCAGTGGTTAAGAGAATTTGCTGTTTCTGCAGAGGACCCTGGGTTTGAATCTTAGTATCCAAATGGTAGCTCACAGGCATGTGTAATTCTAGTTCAAGGGAATACAGTGCCCTCTTTTGGCCTCCTTGGGCACTAGACACACATGTGATACACACGAAGCAAAACACCCATACACATTAAATAAAAAAAACCCTGACATATCAAAGTAGATAGATTAAATTGGCCCATTAACATAAAAAAATATGCCATGGGGTCTCAGTTAGCCCAGCTTGGCCTCAAATTCATGATTCTCCTGCTTCAACCTTCAGTATTATGCCTGCTAAGTGATGGGCCACTTTACTATGAGGGTTTTGTTTCTTTGTGTTTAAAGCAAACCATGAGTTAAATACAAACTGTGAGTTTTGGTTCGCCCAGGAGTCATAAGGTCACCATGCTTGCCCATTATGGCATCAGGACCCACTGAAAGACCTGTCCTTACCATAAAGTCATGTCACTAGTTCTGGGGTACTTGATTCCTCTCCAGGTGATTGACTTAACATAAAACGGATTGGGCTGGGTTTGAATCTAGCAACTATTGACACTATTCTACATTTTATAAAAGTCCGTAGTTTCCACCTGCAGTTTAAGAGGTGCCCAGGACGAGTCGAGGCCGGTTAATAAGTGAGAAGAGCAGCAGTCCCCTTACTTGGTTCTTGGGTTAGGAAAGGAAACCACAAACCAGAGAAAAGCGCCAGCGGGTGCAGGCTCCTGCCTCTCTCTGGGAAGCTCTCCCAAGTTCCTCTAGTTCCTGGCAGAGTCAGGAGAACTGGCTCTCCCCACCCTCACCCTGTGTAGTGGGCCAATGTGGTGGTCACAGCAGCTGGTCACAGAAAAGACCCCACACAGGTCAGACCCCGAACTAACTGGGATGAGGCTAGGGGACAGATACAGGAAGAGGTTAGACTCCCTGGAGACCAGGTTGTGGAAAGCTTGTCACAGGGACTGGAGCCAGTGGAAGTGCAAGGGTGCTGTGGCACCCTGCAGGACCCTCGTCCAGGTGGCAGAGGAGAGGTAGGCACCCAGATTAGAACCTGTTGCTATCTGGTCAGTGACAGTGGGCCAGGTGCTTGCTGGGTGGGGTGGGACTGGAAGGATAGGCTCATTGGTGCTAGCATCATTCAGACCCACATCTCTCAAGATCACTGTGGGATACATCTGGGCTGCCTCCTGTATCAACTAGTGTCTGTGTCCCAGCTCTCCTGTGCCATTGGGAAGTATTCAGAAATGGAAAGCTAAGGAGCAATGTGACCGTGACATATCTAACTGTTTTCTATATTACCGAATGAGAAGCATCTTGAGATCTTTGTATGTTTAAGCAACTGAAATACACAGATACTTTTGACTCTTCCAAGGGGCTGAGCTGCATTCTCTAAAACACAGCACCACATATCTTAGTTAAGGGAGCCACCTTAGGGTGGGCAAGAGACTTGAACCTAGAGTGGCTCCCAGGTGCCCAGGGCGATGTCCCCAGTTAGTTCCTTGGGCAGCTGAGGGTAGGGAACCTGAAATGACCCTATCGTAGAGCAATACTGACGAATATCTTGCATATCACCATAGAACCTTCATCTGGTGATGGATGGAGATAGAGACAGAGACCCACACTGGAGCACCGGACTGAGCTCCCAAGGTCCCAATGAGGAGCAGAAGGAGGGAGAACTGAGCAAGGAAGTCAGGACCACGAGGGGTGCACCCACCCACTGAGACAGTGGGGCTGATCTATTGGGAACTCACCAAGGCCAGCTGGACTGTGACTGAAAAAGCATGGGATAAAACCGGACTCTGTGAACATGGAGGACAATGAGGGCTGATGAGAAGCCAAGGACAATGGCACGGGGTTTTGATCCTACTTCATGTTCTGGCTTTGTGGGAGCCTAGCCAGTTTGGATGTTCACCTTCCTAGACTTGGATGGAGGGGGGAGGACCTTGGACTTTCCACAGGGCAGGGAACCCTGACTGCTCTTCAGACTGGAGAGGGAGGGGGAGAGGAGTGGGGGGAGGGGGAGAGGGACGGGAGGAGGGGGAGGGGAATGGGAGGCTGGGAGGAGGTGGAAAAGTTTTTTTTCAAAAAAAAAATAATAAAAAACTACTCTTCAAAACTAGGTTCTCAAGTTTTGAGAACAAACTTTTGTATTCTTTGCATGTGAATGTATATGTGTGTGGTGTGTATATGTGTGTGTACTTACATCTGCACATGTGGGCATCTGTGTGTGTTCGTGTATGCAAGTGTATGGAGACATCTGAGGCTGCCATTGGGAGTCAACCCTTGATGGCTCTCAGCCTCGTCTATCGAGGCAGGGTCTCTCAGATGAATCCAGAGCTCACTGAGATGAAGATTCTGCCTAACTGGGTTTCTCAGCCTGGGAGCCCTCTCCTCTGCCTTCTGAGTGCCGGTGTGACAGGCATCTATGTGGGTGCTGGAGATCTGAGCACAGATGCTCACATTTGCTGAGCAAGCACATTATCTGCTGAGTCATCTCCCCAGGGACCATAATTTTTTTTTAAATTTTTATTTATTTATTTATTTATTAAAGATTTTTGCCTCCTCCCCGCCACCGCCTCCCAATTCCCTTCCCCTCCCCCTATCAAGTCCCTTTCCCTCATCAGCCCAAAGAGCAATCAGGGTTCCCTGCCCTGTGGGAAGTCCAAGGACCACCCACCTCCATCCAGGTCTAGTAAGGTGAGCATCCAAACTGCCTAGGCTCCCACAAAGCCAGTACGTGCAGTAGGATCAGAAACCCATTGCCATTGTTCTTGAGTTCTCAGTAGTCCTCATTGTCCGCTATGTTCAGCGAGTCTGGTTTTATCCCAGGATTTTTCAGACCCAGGCCAGCTGGCCTTGGTGAGTTCCCGATAGAACATCCCCATTGTCTCAGTGTGTGAGTGCACCCCTCGCGGTCCTGAGTTCCTTGCTCGTGCTCTCTCTCCTTCTGCTCCTGATTTGGACCTTGACAGGGACCATAATTTTAAATAAAATTTAAAGTTAAAAAAAAAGTTAACTACCTAACCACTGACCATTTATTTCACAACCTTATTCTTCCACCGTCTCTCACTACCTGGAATTGATAGTAAGTTAAAAAAAAGTTTGCAATTCTCAGGTGATAACCTGTTTTTGTTTCTGCTATCAGATTCTTCATAACTCTTTTTAAAAAAGAAAACAGATGGATGACAACAGAAAACATGAGAATACTATTTTCTATGTAATTTCTATACTAACATACACAAATCACTTCTGGGTTATACACACTTGGGACATAGTTTTCATTTTGAAATGCAAACTGAAATCATCTTATTTCTTGAGCTACAGGACGTGTAAGTGGCCTTGCACACTGTAGGGCGTGCCTGCCAAGCTCTTCCTAGTGGCAGCAGTCCCAGCCAGTCCTGCCCCCTGGGCTAGTGGAACTCGTCACTGGATAGTGAGAAGATATTGTTCCTTATGTTCACACATGATATTCTTTCAAAGATGACACAAAGAAAATAACTCCAGGGTTAGTGTCAGGAGTCCTCCTGCACAAACGAGCTATTTATGTCTATGATGGAGTTTTAATCTTACAGACTCTGACTTGATGACAACGATGATTCCTCCTCCTCTTCTTGAGACAAGATCTCATGTAGCCCAAGGTAGCCCTGAATTTGCTATGTGGCAGGGGATGACCTTGGCTTGTGTTCCTCAGTCCTCTTGCTGGGTGTGCACCATCATGCCTGTTTTATGCACTGCTCAGGACCGAATGCCAGGCTTCGTGCACACTGGCAAAACACTCTACCAACTGTGTCACAGCCTCCAACCCTCTTCTAGGTGATGTATGGTATTGAGGTCGTGTAAGAACTGTGGAAATAGTTGCTCTACTGTATTTTTAGGGCGTAAGGACAGAAGAAAGTTTGTGTCTGTTTAGAACCCTCATAGATTTTCCTTCAGGTATCTATGAATCTTGATTGGTTGGCTTCTTAGATATAGAACCTATCCATATGAAGAGTCAATTATAAGTTTTAAAATTCTACTGAGGAACAGATTTCAGAAACTGTGCTAGGAACAATCCTACGAACCCAAACATGTAAACCACTGAGCAGTCCCAAACCCTTGCCTTCGCTAGCATGAAGTACGGCAACCAGAGACAGTATCAAAAATGACTCACTAAAAGGTGGTCATATTCCACCATCACTGGGTGCCCTCTGTGCTCCAGGTGACATGCTGGGGTCTTGGATACCAGATCTTTTCTGTGTCTCAAACAACCCATGAAATAGGTGATTCAGCTCCATATTCCAGACACTAGAGTAAGAACTGAGTAGACGTTGTTTTCTTCACATCCGCTGAACTGGAAAAAGCTGAGCCTGGACTCAGAGCATGCTGGGAGTCCACCTAGCATCCTTCCCTCTTGCCCACAGCCGCTTCCTGGGTCCAGGGACAGCATGGGGGACAGTGTGGGTATGGGGGACAGCACATACACACTTGTTGAGTTTTGCATATAGGATTAGCCTATTACTATTCTCAACATCATTTAAAAACAACCTTTGGGTATATTTTATATGCCATAA